TCCGCCCCAAAAAAATTAACCTTTAGAATCGCTTTCAATTATTCTTTTTAGTTACCACAGTTTGCAATTGCCTCTTTCATGTATTGCTTTGTGCTTTTTCTTTGGACCATGTAAATTTTTTAGGATGTGATGTCAGCATTATCTTAGTTGCCGTCTTAGTCCATTGGTTCTTTATCCTTAAGGGCTCTTATCACTTGCAATGGTGTTCACCACCTTGTGGTAGTTTAATTTTCAGAGGGCAGTTGATAGGAGACTGGGAAGAGATATGGTGCCTCCTTACCACCTGTATTAACCCTTTCAAATAACACAGTACTGTGCCACCACTTTGTGCCTTACAAGGTGCGGGGTGGTTGTTGCATTTAGTGGCATTGTGCAACCACCTATTTTTACCACCCACCAGCCACAAGTGTAAATGAGGCTTCAATATGTGCAAATTTGTGGATGTCACTGTAAAGGGAATCTGTGAAAAGAGTTGCTATCTGTCACAGTCAAAACCCCTAACCCAAAAACAGTGTGTGTAATGCTGCTGCAGAAGTATGCTCTACCCAGAACTATCACCTACTCCAAAAATTGGGCCGTGTCATCCTCCAGCACTGTAAAATGGTTGTGATAGATACAAACTATTCTTACAGGTGTTCTTTAAAATTGATCAAACATTGTTTGCAAGAATTGCATCCCTTATGATTCATGATGTCATCTCTGCACCATAAAACTGCAGTTGTGAAATTTAGCAGTTTTAGTCTGAAAAGTATGGACCATATTATACAGTATACAATAACACAGCAAACATCTGTCACATTGTATATTGTTGAAAGCCAGGCAGATTAAAAGGAAAACATCAAATAATGTTGTTACTGTATGCATTAATTTAAAGACCAATTCAAACCAACAAATGTTTTTCCCATGCAGTGGGGCTCTGCCCGCAATGTACGGGTTAACTGATCATTTTTGTCTAGATGTAAAAGGAGCGGAGATATACTTATCTAAGTCACCAATCCTCCCAGTGCAAGACAAACACCCCCCTCCTTTCCCCTGTGGTCTTGTACACTGGACTCTTCCTGAGGTCATCATGCCTATATACCGACTCTGAACGTGAGGATGGAAGGAACAGTCCACGGCTGGACGTGGGGGAGTGCCGTTTTCTGGATAATCGAAGGATCAGGTGAGTATAGACTTTCTGCCTGCCCCTGGACAAAACAAGCAGTTAACCCATACACTGTGGGCACAGCCCCACTGCATGGAAAAAATAATAATTTCCTGGAGTTCTGCTTTAAAACAATTATTAAATGTTTTTGTCAATAGAATTAGTGTAGCTATCTAAATTTGATATGGTATCAGACTATTACAATACCCCGTAAAGCAACAAGACTGGGAGAGGGAGGAGAGGAACTTACGCAGACCATACATGGGTCAAATTCTGAACTAATTTTCGTTAGTAAAATGGAAATTTAGTGCATTTTGTAATCCGATGGCGCCATCATTGATTTCGAAATTCGATCAATCAAGCCTTCAGATTCACTTGTTGCTACAGAAAATAATTTTCGTTGCCAGGAATCTTCTTTTCTTTCCAGGTCACAGCTCACACTCATTTCTTTTTCGATTACATTTCTCGCATAATTCTCCCATCATTGATTCGAAATTTCTTTGTTTTTCAAAAAATTTCCAACATGCCCAATCACTCAAATGCGATGGTTGCACGAAAATCGGCCGATGCTGTGGCCCACTAATTGTGCGAAATTTGAACGAAAATTCTTAGAAAAGATTTTCGAAAGAAAATTATTTCAGAATTAAACCCATGTATGGCTGGCTTTAAAAGCAGACTGCACATTTACTGAAAGAAGGAGAAATCAGAAACAGCATCTGTGTGTCGGTGTTCCTTCACTGTCCAGTCACAGGCTGAGAGAGGGGAGGTGACCCTGCTGTATTTTGTAAGTGCAGTAAAGAAACGTCAGGTCAACTGTTTGGTTGGTCGGTGAAAATGCTAGGACTGGATATACAGAAATACAAGTCTTTTGACAGGCAAAACAGCCTATGAATGTATTTCAACTGCCTATTTAGCTGTTTGCCTGGAGATGAAGGAGAAGTGTTGAATTATAAAAAACCCAAACATGTATACTCACCTCCATGCTGCAGCATTGTGTAGCGCTCATCTGTCCCACACAGAAGACAAAGTACTGAGCGATCACATGACATTGATCATTCAGCTCTCAGTCTGCTTCAATCATTGAGCAGTGACGATCAATCACTGCTCTCCTCTTTGGCTCTCCTGGGCGCTAGGCTTGGCTCTCGCTGCAAGTCAATCAGGCAGCTAGTTGGGTGAATTCTAACAATCGGGCAGCCAGGTGGATCCCAACAAAGGAAGACAAGGCGCAGCAGCTATTAGTGTCCACCCACTGATAACAGCATTTTTCAGAGTAATGCCTGGTACACACTCCAAGTTTTCTTTTTGTTCAGTCTGGTTTAGGCTAGGTTCACACCTATGCAGTTTGTGTTTGGTCTCTTTCTCTTTCAGTGCATTTTGGCACATGCGTTTTTGATGCGTTTTGCTTATTTTTCAAATTTTTCTTGTTGCTCGGCAGATTAAAATGCAAAAACACATAAAAAATGCAGCAAAAACGCACTACATGCTTTTCTGCAGTGTTTCCATTGAAGTCTATAGAACAAAAAACACAACTTTTTGCTTTTAAAAAAGTCCCTGACCCTTTCCAAAAAACGCAGCGGGTGAAAATGCGGAAATGTGAATGAGTCCTATAGAAAATCATTTTAAATGGACTGTAGTGCATTTCTGCAAAACGCTTCGGAAAATGCTTAGGTGTGAACCTAGGGTAAGGAAGTTGTGTGGTCATGACAAAAAAAAGATGAAAAGGGTATACAGGTTTAATTATTTTTCAATATTATAACAGTGGTTCTGCTAGGTGAGGTGAAGGGGACTGCTGTTTACACTATAGGCTGGAGAACCACTTTAGAGAGAAAATATATTTGTTTTTGACAAATAAAAGATTATAAAAAGTTGTAGCCTAACCTGTGTACTGATGAGACACCCAAAAACCTGTGAACTTCAAGGGGGTCAAAATAGTCCCAAGGTGATTGGACCTGAAGGAGAGGATAGATGGTGGTGCTGACAGTTCATCATGGGAGACCATCCTCGGAGCAAGGATAAAACAATAAAACAAACAACAGAGCGCAAGGCAATCTCAGCATAATTCCATTTTATACAAATTAAAACAGCCCGCCGGCAGGAAAGAAGAGTAGGGACCGAGCAGCTGCTCCATTGCAGATACTCTGATCCCTTCTCTTCTCTCCCGCCGGCTGACTGTCATCCTCCATGCTGAGCTATACAGCACAGACAGTGTATGTGGAACCTGGACCCTTTTTGATGTCACACTGCTTCCCCGTGAGCTGATATAATACTTCATCACTGGATTTCAGCCTTTGTTATGTAAGTGGATGCTGTTTTAATTTTCATAAAAAAATTGTTAAACTGACATCACCTTGAACTCTGCTGATTGTTTTCTATTTGTTTTTGGTCAATTATATTTTAGCTTTTAAACAATATAATAAACAGATATTTTGTATAATTGTGTTTGTTTATTTCTATAAGATATTTATTTTACAAATAAACATTTATTACAAGGCACTCTACAAAACATGGCAGGCATTCCAAAAAGAAAGCCCAGCACTGCCTGCTAACTTGTTGAAATCCTCTTTATAACTACAAATCTGTACAGAGTGGTCTCTGCTAGGGGAGAGGGATGTGCCCCTCATCTGAATCATTCAGCTGTGTTATTTTATCACCAGCTTTTTGGTTCTATTGACAATATAAGCTTTTACCAGCTCGGTAGTAAGTAGGTTTGGTAAAGAGCTGCAAAGTAGCTTCCAGCATGCTAACTTCCAGCCTGAAGTGCTATATTTTACTCATACAGTATATAATATTTTATATTTAAATAAATAAATATAGGAAAGACAATGCTTTCTCATTTTTTTTTGGTAGTAAACATAAGAAAATACATACAAATCATTCGACATTCTTTTTAATGCTGCATCTATAAATCAGATATTAAACTTTATTCTGTAAAAGCAGAAAAAACTTGGGTGAACAGATGGACGGGCAAACAGTTGGAACTTAAATGACTTTGTGACGTACCACCTAGCACCTCACCTGGGTGCTTCCATCAGAGAACTGCTTCCTTGCCACTGGGACAGAGGACCAAGGTATTATAGCTGGGCATTGCACCCAACAACACTAGCTTAGGTGCAACAAGAAACTCTTTACTGTCAACTTTCACAGAATTTATACCATACAGAATCAGGTAAGAGCTTGATTACATTATCCTAAACAATGCAAACTGTAAACAGTAATATCATCAGAATAGCTAACATCTAATAGTGATATAATCAAACAGTAATCTATTTAACAGCTAACAGTGATCTAATTAACAGTAAGCTAATCAACAGCCAGGTACCTGGGCCAGCCAGGAGCCCACCCCAGACAGCCCGGCAACAAGCCCACACCCCTGGATATACAAAGTACATTGCACATACTAACTTTCAGGTGTTTGCCTTTCACTTGTATAATCTGTCCACTAGAAAAATCATCATAAAACAAAACTCATACAATATTACAACAGTCTGAAAAAATGGAATTAATTTATCTTCAGAGATTTTTTGAGAGATATTGTCCAACCCAGGCTGCAGGAGTGCCACCATGTTTCATCTGACCATTAACCTGTACAAGATTAATATTACACCTTTCCATCCATTCCAGAAGGGAAGCTTTATTGTCTTTATTCAGAGAATTAATCCAAGCCTCGCTCTCAGCGTTCATCAACTTATTATCTATCATTACAGACTGGGATCAGAGGCTGAACTGAGCTTTTTTCCATACTCTGACTGAGAGATGCAGACAAAATCCCTGGTCTCCTCCATGGGCCATAATCAGTGGGTAGAAGGCTACTCCCCTCCAAAAGCCCCTGCCCTGGTTGGGTCTGTCGCAGACTTACCTGGGTATTTTCAACGGTCTCATTATGTAACATCAGGAGGATAAGCACAGAGCTCAGCCAGATGAGAAGTGGAATCTTCGTCTGTGCTATCATATAAAATATAAAGGTGTTCAGGAAAATGGTTGCCAGGCCTTTCGTTCCAAGTACAAACCAGCAGGCCACCATGCCATAGGACATCAGAAACCACAAGCGATGCTGCAGACAAATGCATTTTATTAGCAGCAAGAAATAGAAAAAACCTACATACAAAATTATCAATTCAGGGCAAAGTGACATTGTCTGTGAAAAAGCCCCCCTGACCTCTCTGATAGTCACCTCTTCAGCAATCCCCCACTGCTTCTGCCTCTGCTTCAGCTGCCACAAAATACCCCGTGCTTCCAAGTCACATTCTCATTTGATACGGAGGTGACATCAGAGTTCCAACTAACCTTCAATACTAGGAATTTAGGGGCCAGCTGGGAGGGTGCAAGGAGCATTGGGGGATCACTGGAAAGGTGAGTGCTAGTGGATCAAAGTGTTGGCTTTGGAGGGACAATTTAATTTGTCCAGCTTCCCGTTTCCCCTCCCCAGCAGTGACTCAGCAGCCCTGCTCTCCCTGCTCCCCCCTCCCAGAAGTCACTCAGCATCCATCCTAGCTCCCCATCTCTCAGCAGTGACTCTGCAGCTGCAGCTCAGCTACCTCTGTTCCCCATCCCAGCAGCTCAACTTCCCCCTTCCCAGCAGCTTGGCTTCTCCTGCTCCCACTTCCAGCAGTGACTCAACTTCTACACTCTAATATAAACATAGGGTGAGGTGAGCTACTGTAAAATTACTTAAAGCGGAGTACCACCGAAAAAAAAAAAACTGTAGCTGCTGACTTTTAAAATATAGACACTTACCTTCCCCTAAGTCCAGCGATGTCCTCACAACCGCTGGTTTCACCGGCCGTCTTCTCTCCCTGGCGCCGGCATCTTCAGTGTGGGCACCCGGCTGTGACAATTTGCAGCTTCACAGCCGAGTGCCCACTGCACATGCGCGAGAAGCGTTGCACTTTGTGAATAGCCCCGTAGTCTTCTGGGACCTGTCACATGTTGCAGAAGACTATGGGGAGGGAGGACACCTTACATTTCCAATTGACTAGGCGATCACAGCAGAAGAGGGAGCGGGTACCTGTCAAATTTGGGTATCCGCGCCACCCACCCCCCCCCCCCCCCCCCCCCGCTCCCCAAAGATGCCAATCCTTAACAAGGCTTGAAGCGGAACTTCCCCTTTTGGGTGGAGCTCCGCTTTAACCGCTTGCCTACAGGGCACTTATACCCCCTTCCTGCCCAGGCCAATTTCCAGCTCTCAGCGCTATCACACTTTGAATGACAATTGCGCGGTCATGCAACACTGTAACCATATGAAATTTTTATCATTTTTTTGTGATAGATAGAGCTTTATTTTAATGGTATTTAATCACCTCTGGGTTTTTTATTTTTTCTTAAACAAACCAAAAATCACTGAAAAGTTTGAAAAAAAAACACGTTTTTTCTTAGTTTTTGTTATAACATTTTGTAAATAATTGATTGATTTTTTTCTCCTTCACTGATGTGCGCTAAGGAGGCTGTAGTGATGGCCACTGATAAGATGCACAGATGGACACTGATAGGTGGCACTGATGAGGAGGCACTGGTAGGTGGCACTGATGGGCATTGACAGGCATCACTGATGGGCACTGAAAGGCAGCACTGATATATGGCATTGATATATGGCACTGATAGGCGGCACTGACTGGCACTGATAGGCAGCACTAACTGGCACTGTTAGGTGGCACGGGCTGGCACTGATAGGCGGCACTGACTGGCACTGATAGGCGGCACTGACTGGCACTGATAGGCGGCACTGATGGGTGACACTGAAAGGCAGCTCAGATGGGCACTGATATGTGGCATTGATGTGCACTGGTAGGCACTGATATGTGGCATTGATGTGGCACTGATGGGCACTGGCAGGTGGCACTGTTCAGCACTTCAACGTGACAGCTCGAGAGGAGAGAAATGCCGATAACCGGCATTTCCCTGTTTACATGTGATCAGCTGTGATTGGACATCTTCGGCTCTTTCTGTGGATCAGTGATCCGCCGTGTCCGAGGGACACAGCGCACCGCCGAACGCGCGCGCTCCCTGAGCCGCGCATGCGTGGTGAGAATGGAAGGACGACATATGACGTCCTATCAGAACAAGAGAACCACCTTGTGCCCATCATTGGACTATATGGCAGGCGGGAGGAGGTTAAACAACTTTATTGCTTTTGCTGTAAACATTGAGGATACATTCTTCTTCAGTGCCTACAGCTACAATGAGATTGTGTTATTCTCTTCAGATTATACAGCCTAAAAAAATGATCTTACTAATTGGAGGCAAACTGATGAAAACTGGCAAAAATACACAGATAAATAGATCGATAGCTTATGCTTAGTGGTTTTACTACCTAAAACAAAAGGTTCTAGAAACGTAAAAACATTCCAGCTGTACCCAATAAAACCAAGCCAGCAAATATTTTATGAGGCAATATCTGCTGACAGAGGGCTTTAGGCAGTGAAGTGCCCTGCTGTCTCCTGTGGCAATTTAATGTGGCTCTCCAATCTACACGGCACACTTTATTATGAGAGGCACTTACAAGATCTCTAATGTAATGCAATACCAGAAGCAAAACATGTTGAAGACAACACAGGCTGGATTTGCTTTCTCTATCCTTTTGGGATAGCTAAGGTCTGATATATACAAACATTGTAAACAGATAAAAAATGAGTGCGCTGTACACTAAAAAATCATAATCAATAATAAATCAAATAAATACTGCTACATAAAAAATGTTCATAAATTGAAATTATATAAGTCCACATTCAATTACCAGAACAAGGTGACGTCACCTCCGCCCAGGCAGAGCTTTCTGCGATGTCACCTTGTTGGTCTGACACCAGGAGCATTTTAAATGTTTACACTGCCTTTCTGCACCTTATCTATGTAAGTGCAATACTTTAATACATTTTTTGCTGGTTTATCGCACTATGAAGTTTTCTTCTTCTGTTTTAAACGTTTCCTTGCATGATGTGGAGAGTTGTCTGATGTGATGGATTCGTTCAAGTGAACCTGCAGTTGTCCATTCATCTCCTATTCATCTCCTTGATACAGGTAACTAGGGTGTCAGGATCTGAACACCATCCTCTTGTTTGATCTTTTGATTGGAGGTCAAAGTGTCTGGTAAAAGGCTGATTTCTTCTTTTGTGTCAAGCATTTGTGGACACCTATGCACTTTCCGTTGGAGGATTTCTTTAGCACGCAGCACTGTTATTGGATTTTGGGACTTTTAATTATTTAATATATGAATGTGGACTCATATCATTTCAATTAATTTAAGCACATTTTTTATGCAGCAGTATTTATTTGATTTATTATTGTTTACGAATTTTTAGTGTACAGCGCACTCATTTTTTTTAGGTTTTGTATTTTCTGGTTTTCAGGTAAAGAGTAGCAGCAGTTCACTAATGTTTCAGAATATATATTTTTTTCACATACTTATTCACATATTGTATTGTCTGGGGTGCAGCGCAGGTTTTTCCCCTTTTTTTCTGATATACAAACATTGGGTGAGGTGTTTGGTGGCGATTCTCATGACCCCCTTCCATTTTTATGGCCAGATACACAGCAGATGGCTTATAACAAACAGGCACAAAGCCTTTGCATTGTAATGCACCTTGCTAAACAATGTCTGGCCTTGCCGGACGCTGATATGAGCCAAACGCCCGTGCACCAAGTACATTTCTGCATTTATCAAGTGTGTGTATAAGCCTCATAGGTGAAGTCTTCCTAATGCAGGCCATACACTCCACTCCCTCATCATATCACGACTCGACTACTGCAACTCCCTCCTCACTGGCCTGCCTCGCCGCTTGCTATCCACACTTCAGTCGATCCTGAATACGGCTGCCAGACTCATTCACCTTTCCAACCGCTCCGTTTCCGCCACCCCCCTCTGCCAATCCCTCCACTGGCTTCCGATTGGGATTGGGCAACGGATCAAATTCAAAATCCTAACACTGACGTACAAAGCTGTCCACCATACTGCCCCGAACTACATAACTGACCTAATATCCAAGTACCGCCCAGCACGCACACTCCACTCCTCACAAGACCTCCTTCTCTCTAGTTCCCTGGTCTCCTCCTCCCATGCCCGCCTCCAGGACTTCTCCAGGGTGTCACCCATCCTCTGGAACTCCCTGCCCCAACCCATCAGATTATCACCTACTCTCCTCTCCTTTAGGCGCACCCTGAAAACCCACCTCTTCAGGGAAGCCTACCCCACCCCTTGCTAACCTGCTGACCTCCTTCACTCTTCCTACCACTCCATCCCCCACAGCTATCTCCTCCTGTGCCACCATCCCCTCCCTCCTAGATTGTAAGCTCGAAAGAGCAGGGCCCTCAATCCCCTCATGTTTTGCATTGTATTGGTATTGTTCTGTCACATGTTCTGTCCCCCTTTGTAATGTACAGCGCTGAGCGAACTATTGATGCTTTATAAATACTGTATAATAATAATAATAATGCATGGGTCGAATTCCGAATGAATGTTCTTTAGAACATCTGAAATTTCGTGCATTTTGTAGTCCGACGGTGCCACCATTGATGTCGAAATTCGACCAACCAAGTCTTCAATTTCAACTCTTGTTGCTACAGAGAAGAATTTTCATGGCCAATCATTTTCTTTTCTTTCCAGGTCACAGCTCACACTCATTTCTTTTTCAATTACATTTCTCGCACAATTCTCCCATCATTGATTAGAAATTTGTTCGTTTTTCAAAAAAACTTCCAACATGCCTGATCACTCAAATTCAATGGTTGCTCAAACATCGGCTGTTGCCGATTCATTCAGAATTCGACCCATGGCCTTAGATTATGGGAGATACATCAGGTGTGCTGAGCTATCCACTTTTACAAATTCTAAATGCAAATAAAAGCTTTGCTGAGAAGAAAACCTTCCCCTCTGATCGATGTACATTGCAAGGATTTTACCAAACTTTGTTGCAGATTCCTACCTTTTGAAGAAATAGCTGTTTGTGTCCATGTGCACAGCAAATGTAAATGGGAGTGGTTTTATAATTATCAATCAGCTGCTGATTCTAAGGCTCGGTTCACGCTACTGTGACCTGAAAGTCACACGACTTACAGTGCAAC